TTAATTTATATTACTCCTTCTTTTTTTAAGAATGCCAGTAGTAAGATTTTGAGGGAGAAAATTTATCAAGAAAAGAAATCCGGGAACAAACCCGAGCCCAAGAAAAACAGCCCGAACCGGACGAAACCCAATCACCTATAAAATTATCCACCAGCGTTATTTTGGCAGCCGAAGGCCAACCAACAACTAACCAACCCGCCTCCTATACGGGAACCACTCAACCAGCAATAGGCGAAGCGTCGGGAACTTCTAATACTAACGAACCAAAACAAACTCCCAACCCCGAAAAATTTTCCACAACCTCCTCTCAATCCCAAAAAATTAAATGCGTGATTTCTTCTTGTTTCTGTTTGGTGGCTAATTCCGGAGATGATTATTGCGAGCAACACAAAAATTTAGCAGCCCAAATTCCGCATTACGAACTCGCAAAAGCCGGAGCCAGTTTTGACCCCACGAAAAACATTTTTACTTCTCCAACTCCCCAATATGTAATCATTAATGAGCCAACCTCAGCCGAAAAGCAAGCCCGGCGAGACGAACGCAGCCAAAAAGCCTGGAAAATTTCCCAGGAAGAACCAAAGATAACAAAGAGAAAAACAAACACAGATTATACCCAAGAACCTCAAAATTTACCTCCTAAGCCAACCACAAAAAAAAAAACCGAACCAAAAATTAACCAAATTCCCAAGCAAAAAAAAACCTTCTTGGAAAAAACCAAAAGCTTTTTCGTTAACGAAACCACCGCCAAAGTAGCCAAGTGAACCGGAATTGGAGCGGGAACAATTGCGAGTGCTGGTGGTTTATATGCGGGAGTGGCCTGTGTGGTTGGTTTCTTTAAAATAAAAGGAGCCATTGCTTTGGGAACTGTCGGAATAAAAGCCACCGTCGCAGCCTGCTTTTGAGCCGGAGCCGCCCCAGCAGTAGGCATTACCATAGGAATAATAAGCACGATAGCCGTAGTAGCGGCTGTTTGCTATTTCGGACATAAAATTTACTCGGCTTATAACTGAACCAAAGAAAAAGCCCAAGAACAAGTGGAAAATCTCCAAAATTTCGCCCGAGAAAAAAGCCAAGTGGTCCGGGAAGTAGTAGAAAATAATTGTCCGTCTGATTGAAGCGAAACCGCCAAGCAAGACGCGGGAACTGCCGCCGCTCTTACTGTGGAATGAGGAATTTATACTACCCCAATTATCCTTACTATTTTCTTCCTTTATCTAATAAAAAAACTTCTCGGCTTATTTTGAGATAAACGCCGCGGCAAGGCCATCCAAATTTTTTAGATTGTTAATTGCATAATTAATCTTTCCCCAAAATGCCTTTTTCTCGGAACTTTTCCCTCATTCTCGCCCGTCGTTTTTTCTGTGGTGATTAAATCTACTTGAATTAAACGCTTCCTTGATTTTGGTAGGCACTTTTGCTTACTTATTGATAAAAAAGTTTAAGACTAAAAATTATATAAGACCAAAATGTATATATGAAGGTTCCTAGAAAAAAGCCCGGTAAAGAATATATTAGATTATCATTTGCCATTTTTCGAGCCAAAAAAGCCGGAAAGGATATCAGTGAATTATTAGCCCAAAGGCAAAAGTTAATCAGCCAAAGACCAACCGCTAAATCTCGTGAGGAAATTAATCGTGATTATTACCAAAAGAACCGGGAAAATTTACGAGAGGAAGTTCGGAGGAAAAAGCAGGAAAAGCAGGAGCAGGAGCAAGAAAGACGAGAACGAGAAATAAACGAACTTGCTACTAAATTTTACCAAGCCAATAGCATTAAAGTTTTAGCGAGTTTTAAAGAATATACCGAATTAAAAAAGGGTAAAAAATTATGATTAGACCTTTCTCGCATTCTCCGAGATTGTGCCGAAGGAGTAGGCGACATAATAAGCCTTATGCAATTACGAGAGGCTACGGATAATCTTATTGACGATTATTGAGCCACGACCAAAGGCAAGGTTAAAAAAAGCGAAAGTTGGAATACCCTCAAACCGGAACAACAACATCGTTTAATTAAGTATTGAGCCCGGGAAAAATTTCACCAAGAACAGGGTCTAGCCGCTAAATTAGGATGGCAAGAAAACCGCGGACTAGAATGAGAACGAGCAATTGAGTTAGCCAAATTTCACGAGGAACGAGGTAAAAAAGGTTGTTCTTGTTATGATTGCCAAGAAAGAAAAACAATTCGTAACAAAGTTAAACAAGAATGCGATGAATACTGAAAAGAAAAATCAAAGCCGGAAGAAAGAGAAGAAGTAGAAAGCGATTGCGGTAATTGTGGCGAGTATAAAAAAGTTAGCGTGGATAGTGGACTTTGCCGGAAATGTGAACGAAAGCAAGAGGAATAAATTTTTAGAAATTTACTAACAAAATTTTCACTAAAAAAAAGGTGTAAACTTAGGTGTGAAATTAAAGGTGTAAAATAATAAATAATTCACACCAAAAAAAAATATTATGCCAATACCATACAGCAAAAGAAAGGAATATTATCGTCAGAGGTGATTAGAAAGAAAGCAAGGTGTAAAGAGAGTAAACAGTTCACACCTTAAAAACGAGAAAGACTTTACACCTAAAATCGAACCGAAAATTAACCAAGTTTTAGAACTAATTCAGCAGGAAAAACGAGAAAGAATTTTACTCCGTTATGAAATTAGCGAAAGTATTAAAGAACTAAAAGAACAGTTAACCGCTTTAAAAGCACTAACCCACAATAAAACCAAGAGAAAAAGCACTTTATCAGCCAAGACCAAAGCCAAAACCAAGCAAAGAAAAAATTCTCTCTCACCCCGA